AGTAGAATTTTTGAATTATTGCCAACACTCAACACTGCACCTCATGGCAATTAATTCATTATAGGGCATTTTACCTGAACCAGCCTCTGGCCTAATGTCCCAAATTTGCTAAATTCCTCACCCTACAAATCCCCTGTTCTATTAGATGCTGCCATTTTTTTAAAACAACTTATCTTAAATCCTTGTTTCATCAAACTGGGAGCTAGGTCACGGGACACTGCGAGTCAAGGTGGGAGGGGTAGGAGATAGAGTGTCACTGCAGCACACACAATCAATCTTTCCATTGGTTTATCTTATATCAATGCCTGCTCTTTTCCAGAGCTGGCTTTCGAAGTTCGAACCTTCGGTATATGGCTACCAATGCCCTTGGAGAAGGTGTTGCGTGATAAATCGCTGGAAGGGCGACATTCAACGATTGTGTGAAAAGAGACCGATTGCATTGTGATGATAAAGTGAACTGTAATAATTGTTGTTCATGCGCGTTGTTTGGTTATGTGCAGACGTAACTTTGTTTGTGGCCAAATGCTTTTTATGTGTGAAATATTTCATGTAGGTTACTAGGTAGATGCTTTGGAAAAGTGAAGAGCTGCTTTGTCGACTGCTAGGTAGATACTGTCATGCATGCTGTTGTGCATCAGTAAGTGGCTGTCGTAATGATAAACAAATTTGGCATGGATAGGCTAAAGCACAGCATATGAAGCATGCTGGTTGATGACTAGTAAGATCCTGTTAACCGACTGGTAATATCACAATAAATGTCACATAGTAAACTATTGTTTTACGATGGTTGGCCAGCAAAGCAAAGCTGGTATCCAGATGACAAAAGGATGGTTTTACCATGATAAGTCATTAGTAAGCATTACCAGGGAGTAGCTAACGATAGTAAAGTCCTAGTTTCGTGCTAGTATCACGTGGGTTTTTGGGCATGGTATGACGACATATAGTTACCGTGTTAATACCATGGTAATTTTTACTGGCATTGGTATTCACATGGTTTTACATTCATATTAGGCCTAGTATTTGGGTCGTAAGTTAGTTTACCATAGGTAAGAGGCTGTTCAAAATATGACCACCACTCGAAAACTAACTAGGGTGGTATTTTTCTTAGTAGGCGGTACCAGGATAATACTAGCGTTAGTAGAGCTTTGGTTTCTTATTAGTTATGCTTTAGTTTCAAGGTAGTATGATGAAAAAATATTACCGTACTAAGACCATGGTATTTTGATGAGCATTGGTAGTTGCATAGTATTCCTTTGATATTGGGCCTAGTATTTGGATCGTAAACTGGTTTACCATAAGTAAAAGGCTGTTCAAAATATGACCACCACCCAAAAACTAACTAGGGTGGTATTTTTTTCTTTCAGTGCATGGCGTCAGCTCCGGCCGGCCATATTTAACCGGACTGTGACCGTCCGGCCGCGCCGTCTCAATGCTAAGAATGTCGTCCCGAGGGAGCTGGAATCTGTCGAGCCACCGGTGGCCCACGCTGGCTCTGCCTTTGGCCGGTCACCATGGTGAGGTTTGTGGGAACGGGCGCACAGAGGAGGCCCCAGTCATGATGGCACGCAGAGGAGACAGAGCGAGCACAGAGACAGGCAGGGAGGGCGGGAAATAACGTGGCACATGGCTTAGAACGGACGATCCATTGGAGTATTTCATGGTCATGTATGTCATCAGTTTCCACTCGTTTATTCTGCTGGAGCTCGCTATAAATTATGAAGCTACCATTTTTTTTTTCTGCGACACCTGATGCAATATCTTATGCAATAATACTCAATGTTTCTGGTGGCATAAATAAGTCAATGCAAAACATATGCCTTTATGGTTTATAAACATTCAAACTGCGTCTCCAGTTAGGTACTTTGCAAATGTTGCTCAAACTTTAAGCAAATGAAAACAAGAAAAGTTTGAACAGTCGGGACAAACCCAGTCAAAAGGTCAGCACCACTGCGTGCCGTCCGTGGGCTTGTATTATAGTTACACCGTGGCGTCACCTGTCAGTTTCTGTCAGTGCAGCTGACAGTCCTGACACGGTGCTGTCATTCTGCCATCCCTCAGCCCTTCCAAACACTCCCCGCTCCTCCGTCCGGCCCGCGCCGCGACACCTGCTGTGATACGCCCCCAGGGCAGGTCAAAGGTCAGCCAGGGTCAGCGACCGCCCGGTGGGGGTCAGCCGCCCCTCTGCGACCGCAGACAGCCGCCAACGCAGCGCCTCGGGCACAACGGTATGTGGAACGGTCGGAGATCTTAGCGTCTACCGAACTGACACAATAGCCGTTTTCACGACGGCCATTTGGTACACATTTGGTGCACATCTGGTACAGATCAGGTGCAGATTTGGTCAAATCAGGTTCAGTGTGTCTCTTAGCAGCTATCAGCTAGAGTTGCACTAATTGCTTACATGCCTGCTTTGTCATATTATCAGAGTAGAGAGCATCATCGATTAAAACAATGAAATAAATTCATAAAATGAAGATATTTGCTGTAAAAGAAATTAGGTGCAGGTTTGGTCAAATCAGGTGCATTCGCCGGATAGCCCGTCGTGAAAACGGCTAATATCAACAGCCATCGCACACTATTACACTTGCTATATGCAACTGCATATGCCAACTGCAAAAAATATAGAAACATTTACTTCGAATAAATGTGTTTCATGGAATCAGGAAGAGAAACCACTCGCAAAAAGTATGAAAAGTGTTTTCTTAAATTTGTAATAATGGGTTAATAGGAATGAGAATAACTCCACCGGGCCCGGCAAAAGCTTCCTTTCTTTTATGGAAAGACTCCGTCGTACCAATGTCAAAATCCACTCAATTCACTCACAAAATCCACAAATGAAACTAAAAAAGCAACAAATTGGAACAGATAAGAACAAATGAAGGAAACAAATGGGAGTCTTCCACCGAACATTTGAGATCTTACTTAAAACTCAAAGGTCAAATGCACAACTGCGCGCATTATTTATCAACCCGAATGCCCACACACTTGCTTTGAGTCACTCACGTCTTCGAGTAAAGTTTGATATGCTCGAGTAGTTATCAACTGCGTATCTGAAATGAATTAGCTTTAGACTTTGAAACCACTTCAAAACGACTTCAACGGACTTCAGAGCCGTTTTATTCTCAACCATTATTGGCTGAACATTTAAATCTAAGCGTAACAAATTATGAAGCCATTAACTTCAGGATCCGTAAATTTATGGCTCAAGCAGCTTAGGTTCAATGTCCCTCTGTACGCGCGTGCTCCTTGCCCAGCATTAAGCGCATTCATATCATATACCTTATATCACTGTTACGAGTCAGATCGCATTTCGGCTACGTTTAACTGGCCCGTACCTACTCTGGTTTCCCGCGTGCATTGGTGCGATGCTCATCAAACTGAAAGGCTTCCAATAGATCACGCTTTGTGGGGCGTTATACGACTCGACGTTACCAATGTAATTCAAGCTAAAAATGCATATGTGGTGAGCTCCATTGCGGTTAAAATGATTGCATAAAGATGGTCCGGCCAACCGCATTTCATTGGTTAATTTAGACACCAGAAGAAATGCCGGGCTGTCTTATTTGATGGCCAGGCAGGAATTATAAACATGCGATTATTTACCTTTATAAGTGACGCAATACGTAGCAATGACCTACTGACTTACTGAGTGTATTTTAAACGTTGGTTGATCCATGCGCGGTGATTTACATTAACGCCTTTATGCTTGCTCTATTCGCAGTGTCCACTGTCCACACCATGTTTTGTAGGTGAGCGGGTGTATGTACCTACTTTCGTATGCTCACATTGTTTGTTTGTTTGTTTTATTGGGTTAGGCCCTTTCGGTCCAATGAGACCATTTCAGAGCCGGGAGGATGATAGGATATAGGGGGAGACATTGGTCTGGGCAGGCACCCTAGTGAGTCGCCGGGGCTGAGCCCGTCCAGAGGACAGGCCACCCAGCCCCAAGGCACTCACTGCACCCGGCTACGGGGTGCGCTCCCTCGGGAGCAGCGGTGCCGCTCCAAGGGAGCAGCCCGCATGAGATAAAGTTGCCTGTCCAGCCCGGAGGGGGGTTGCGGCGTGGAGGAGAAGGATTTCAGTATCCTGAGGATAGAAGCATGGAACGGTGTATGCTCACATAATTCGTAGTCAACTTCATTGTGAAAAGGCACGACGGCAATGCAGCTTTGCGGGCTTAGCCCACCATTACTCGTGACCTTTTATAACAACGATCTGGCAGTACCTACATGCACAAAGTCCGCTGACCTGGTAATAAGTGCCTCTTGTTTATGTTCACCAATGGCTAGTTTGTTTACATAGCGTCTTAGGTGAATGGGACGTGAGCATCGACGGTACTGAGACGTGAAATTGACAGGCATCGCTATTTTGGGATTTCCGTACGGACCGGATGCGCCCATAGGGTTCTGTGTTAAATTCCGTACGGACCGCACGCGTTCCGCACAGTGGACGGCGGCCTTCAGCTTTTGTTCTTAGTTGGCGGCAAAAAATCAGAAATTGCTTCTATATGATTTGAATACTGATCTTGGTGTGGCAATACGACAAATCACGTTCAAGTGTTACAAGTCTCTATCGTCCAAATTCCTAGTCTCGAAGCCGTGCGGCCATTGAACATCGACTGCAGGTAACGATTCGCCGACTCCGGAGATTCAGAACGCCAGTGCCATCTGTCTCGCCGCTGTACAGAGACACCTAGCGGTAATATCTGAAAATATCAGCACCACCTCCCAATAACCGGGACAACCAGCAGCCGCCTCTGCTGATAATGAATGGTATGCGACCCACAGTGCCGATTCTTGGAGCCAATAAATAATTTTCCGATGTCAATGTTGGCACTCAAATGTAACCTGTTTCGAAACTCAAGCAGTATCACCAGCAAGAGGGCGCAACTGTTCCAGTCAAACCTCTAACTCTGATGTCTGGTGGTCACTGGTCGCGTCTAGCATCGCATCACATGAATCGTTCATATACTGCGCACCCCTTAAAAATATTCATCACACTTTCAGGACGATAAGTGAATATATTCTTTTCATAGCGTTGGTATTGACAAAGGAATACAAATTGTGAGCACACAATTCCTGGGGATTTACATAGATCCAGTAAATGAGTTGAACTAATATTTCATCAAACAATGTAGTGCGAGGGTAATTTTTGACAGCTTACAGCACTTCAGTGACATAAATCTATACAAACTTAAATATTCAGCGCACGCTATTAATTGTATGACGAACTTCGATTCTTGGCCAGCCTGCTGGCACAGCATCGGCAGTTAAACCCGCTAAAAGCATTCCTCAGCAAGAAAATTTCCGACCATTTTGCTTTTCATTTCAGTAGCTGCTCAGGGAAATGGTTCTGGTTCCCAGTTCGATTTTGTACACATTGGTTGGCTGGGACTAAAATATTCGGATAATCGGTGGCATGCAACATCCAGTCGCTTTGAATAACACAGAGAGCATTTTTCACATCGCCTAAGTGCAAACGCTAGTGACCGCTACGATTATCTCAATTAATCTCTCAGATATCATTCGCCTGAACAGTCATCACCGTAACAAAATCGTACCACACCACGAACGCCTTACAGCAATCACATACAGACCCACACAGGCTCATCACTCCCTCGTACTTTCTTCTCCCTCCGCATCCAAGTAGAGGTCACTCCAATCTCTCAACCACAGTTCTCCATACATGTTATCCACCATTCCTCACCGTCCATCCCACATATCGTCTGACTCGATTTAAAACATCCACACCACCCCAAGCCACGTCGATCCGTGCCGAGCAAGCAGTGGACACCACCGCTACGACGCCGGTGATTGTTTCACGGAGTATTGACAAGTTCGAGAACAGACACCGATTGTAGCTCAGTTTTCCATGATTGGATCTATTCCGACGGCGACGGGCTTGTCGCGGTTTGAGGCGAGCCAGCCGCTGAAGCCGGCTGCTGCGTTGGGGACGTCTCGGCTTTCTGAGGAGATGACTGTTTCTCCGGTGATTGTTTGGTAGGCGGCGGGACCGCGGCTTTGTTCGGAGACAGGCTCTGCTCTGCCGTCCCCTGATGGGTAGGAGCGGCACCCGGGGTCGGCGCTGGACCACTGGGAGCGGGGGGACGCACCGTCACCGCCGCTGCCTTCACGGTCGTCGGCGAACGCGCCGCTAAAGCCGGCACCTTTGGCGGCGCGCTGGTCGGCACCGGCGGAACTTTGCTCTCTCCCGGGGAGCCGACCCCCGGCGCCGGCGCTGTCTTCCCCTCGGGGGAGGCCGGGGAATCCGCCGCGCCCTTGGCGGCCGGTCGGCGCCGCACTGTCTGGAAGTGTCCGTCACTCCCGGAGGAGGTGCTGTCAGCTGAGGGCGGTCGGCGGGCCGTCTGGGAGCACGGGGAGTCGGGGAGGGAGACGGGCGAGTCGGGGTCGACGGGAGCGGACACCTGAGGAGACGGGTGGCCCGGCGGAGGAAGGCGGTCCGAGTTGTAGCTGTAGATGACGCGCAGCAGCTCCCGCAGACCCTGCCGGACGGACGGGAGGGAGAGGTCAGTATACATACATTACACACACATCAGTTGGACAAGGAACGAGTCAAACAGATCAACCACACATATCGACAGAATATGAGACCGCTAAGCTCTCCTATTCCTCGGGCTGGCGAGGGACAGCGCAGCTCCCACATTCCTCGGGCCGTTTATAAGGCGAAGGCGGAAAAAATCACCGACCACACACATATGCTGGATTAGTGGGCTCAGGAAAAACGAAAAGCAGATTTTTTTTATAAATTTAGTCCGAACCTTTTGATGGGAAGGATTCACAAGGACAGAGCCACCGCTAAGCGAAGCTTGTTGCGGTGACCCTGCCCTCTACCCTCCGATCGCGTAATTCCGATTCTATGGCAGAATTTAGAGTCCAAAGTTTAACGTGCGCACAAAGCCGCGCACGGCCGGTCCCCTCGCTGACTTCGCTTGGCTACGGCCTGCCACCAACCGCAACCATACCTGTCAGGAGGCCCATAAATGTTCCTCCCTCAACCAGATCAACCAATCCAGCTTTATTCCTAGAAACCCATTCAAGATCTTACCAACATGATTAGCTCTCCACCAACAGCCGTGCTACACCGCCACGTGGAAGTACCCAGGTTACCTTATTCTCCCTGTTGAGCTGGGCGATGGTCTCCTGGGCGCGGTGTTCGCTCTGTTCATCCAGCTCGACGGCCCGCCGCATCACCAGCGCCATCTCCTGGATCTTGTCCGACTGCAGCTGCAGCAGGGCCGTGTCCGGGGACTGTAGGGAGTGGTAGGGATGTGTCAGTATCACTCTAGATATTCGCATGTCAGTGTCAGTCCAGGCAATGATAGATTCCATCGTGTATCAATACAGTGCCACAGATCACAGATGGTTGGTACTCGTTGGCAGCAGGTCCAGGAGAGCGAGGGGAAAACGCGAGGGAACTGATAAAACACAGGTAATTCAGACTGTGATAAGACTTCTCCCTCCAATCTTCGGCAGACAATTGGGTCGTCAAACATATACTCTGAATTCTGAGCGGTGATACGAAATGCAGCAGCGTCTACAGCACCGGAAACATCCTATCCACCCCGGCCCCGCAGCCTCCGTGTCTGAATGCAACCTGACCTGTTCCGACCCCATCACTCACCATCCCTCCCTCCCTTTCCCTCACCGTCATTGGGCTCGCCTCACCTGCTGGCATGTGCCGGCGCCGGCCTGACCGCGCCGCTGCTGCTGTAGCTGCAGCTGCCGGTCCGACTTGTTAATCTCCAGCAGCTGCGTCACCTGCTTGCGGTAGTTGGACATGACGATCTCCAGCGTGTTCTGGTGCTCCTCCAGCGAGTTACGCAGCTCCTTGTTCTCCTGAGGCGACATCGGCACACGGTCAGCAGACGCATGGTTTCATGCGAACAGTGGGCACTTCCAGGAATTATGATGTTCCAACAAAAGAACTATGCGAACAACGCAGGAGGCATAATTGGTTTTCACTAGCCCAGGTAGTTGGAAATATGATCTGTCTGCAGTCCCTAGTCCTAGTACGTCAGTCCGCGGTGACTCACTGGAGATCTTTGAGCACCAAGATTCGTACGTTTTATCAGCTAGAACAGCGTCTAAGGTTACGGAGGAATATCGTGTCCGGCCGCGCTGGGCCGATTCCGCACTGACCTGCTGCAGCTCCCGAAGATGACGGTTCTCCTGCTGGATTCCCTGCACGAGCGCGTCGCGTGGCTTCTGGTGGGCCACTTCATTCAGCTGACCGACCTCCTCCTCATACTGAGGACAGGGCGGGACACAGGTCACATACTGCAGTATGAGACACTGTGCGGAGCCCAGCCAGACTGAACAAATTTTGAACAAATTTCAGGGTTCAATCTGACTATGCATGACTCAAAGAGACTTCCATAACTTAGGCCAGACTAAACAGAACACATATAGACAGCAGCGAACCAGACACTGTTATGTTGAGACACAGTCCTGACTACAAGGGTGAGGGGTCAGTTCAACTTCAAACTATACAGAAATCAGCCAAACTGCACAGAGATCATACAGAATGTGCACTTGTGCAGGGCCCAAACAAACTCACAGGGCTAAGAGAGACTATACAGGGCTCAAAGACTGCACATGTCCAAGACAGACTATACAACAGAGTTCAGCATGATGAATCAACAATTCACTGTCAGTGGCTACTGTTTTGGCAACCAGGACCTCAAAGTCATCACTCATCATACTTTGAAGTCTGGCTGATGACTTTCAATGAAATAGGCACTTTGTGAGGAGGGAAAATAGGATAAGAGCATCAATAGGTCAGATCTCTGACTTTATTACATACAACAAGTTGCCTACTAATCACCAAACTTATTAGTAAGTAAACAATGAACCATAGGCTAACCAATGCACCAAAATGAACAATGAACCATAACATGGTGTCATTGTCAACACACTGTCATCAACATACACATATCAGATTGGATACAGTAGGTAATAAATAAAATGCTAATTACCTGTTTCATGGCATCCACCTGCTTGTAGAGGCATTGAGCTTGGGAAATCAGGTGGTCCGCCAGTGACTCATGATCTTTAAGCTGTGTACACAATGTCTGAGCATCACTTATTATGTTCTGCATTGTGAGTGACATCTTTATCAACAACTCTGTCTCTGAAAACAGAAAACCAAGTCAGAAGTCAGAATGTATAAATATACAGGGTGTCTAGTACAAAATGACAGTTTTCCTTCCTCTCTGGCTTCAAAACCAGTTGGAATATTCTTGATCTGTGATTCTGTATAGAGCAGCACCCATGTCTGTTTAGAGACTGTGAAGACCATCTTTTGCAGGTTCAGGAGATGACTGGAGCAATCATAGGAATGATAGGGATACTACATAGGGATACTACATTCAAAGATATTGAGATACCAAGCATTTTCAACAAAGTTGCTGATGTGCTAATTTATCTCAAACACCCTTAGGAGAATTATTCATGGATCAAAGTGGAAGATCAAGATATCTTTTCCCAGTAGGAAATAGGATTCTGAAAAACGAGTGACCGAGGAGACGGGTTTTTCAAACTATTGCGGAATTCATGATTTGATAGGTAGTTGATACTGATACCAGCACTAATGCTAATAACAGTCAGCAGTCATTGAGATTTGAATCCTAAGATTGTTGAGCTGTTCAAAAAACATACCACAACAACAATTAACTCTTACTTTCAGATTTCCCAGATAACTATACCGTACCTCCACCCTCTACCTACTGGACCTCCAAGACACAGTCGCAATCATATCAAGAACCCAATAATAAATGTATCTATGAACTAGCAAAACCAGTTTTAAATGCTTACACCTAGGGTAATATGACTGTTGGCAAAATTTTAATATTCAAGCTGGAACTACTTGGTTTAATTTTAGATAAAAACTAGCGAGTTACGCAGTTCACACTTGACCGTCAGTCTGTCGGTGTCGGGCCCGTCACCGTCGACCTGACGGCCTGCAGTCCGTCGAACGAAAGTTGAGATTTGGTAGCTCCCATTGGCTGCCATAAATTGCGACAGAAATGGCGCACCATTTTTGAGATTGATGCAGATGGGGGAAGGGGATGGGGGAGGGTAGAGGCCGAGAGGTTAAAAATATTATTTGTATTACAGAAATAAAATACCACGCATTTACATTTTTATGTCAAATATTGCTGCAATTTTGTTTAAATGAAAGACACATAGGTTCGCTGATTTAAATCAGGGATCGAATCACAAGATATCGTGCCGTAATAAACACTTTCATCTCAAAAATCATCTCAACAAATGGATGGAAAATGATATAAATGCTCTTAAAAATGCATATAAGCTTGATGCTGCATGAGAAAGTTCCTTTTCCTCTTCCTCCAACACGCAGACATTCAAACCGACGGGCCCGTCACCGTCAAAAGTTGAACATTGCTGAACTTTCCAAAGCGACGGCCGTCAGGTCCGGCGCCGGCGCAGTCAGCTGTTGCCGGCCGTCAAACGCTGCCGGTTCACACATGCCCGTCGACCTGACGGCCGTCGCTCCGTCAGTTTCGGCCGTTTTGACGGTGTCGGGCCCGTCACCGGCAGACCTTACGGGCAAGTGTGAACTGCGTTTTTGAATTCTAGCCATTCCAGCTTGAGCTTACTGCTGTGCTGTCAGTCCCGAGCACGGACGTATAAATAAACGTTTATGTATGCGTTTATTTATAAGTCGTTCATTTATACGTTATTTATACATTATTTATCATCATATGATTGTACGACTATATGATTTACGACGTTTATTCATACGTCCGTGGTACCGAGATTCTTTACAGAATTCAGTAAGCTGAGGCGAGACTTCTCATTGCAATTTTTAGACTGTTATTGTTCAGAGCACCAACGAATAAAATAAATGTTTCCTTAAATCAAATAATGAAGAATAAGTTACCATTCTCTAATGACACGAACAAACCACGGTATATAGAGTACTAGGTAAAACCGGTTCGAAATTACAACACTAAGGTATTTTGACCACTATTTTCAGCTGACCCTTAAAGTCTAAAAAAGAGAACTAAGCAACAAATTTCAATGAGTTTTATTATTTGTATATATATTTTTGATTCATGATCAGAGACCACGCCAAGTATGAATCTGTGAAGCATTAACGAAAATAAATTGTTGGCTATCTCCGCCATTTCAAAAATTATATATCTTAAGTTGCAAGGATTGTTCATGGACAAAATTAATTTTTCACAATCAAAATTAAAAATTGAAGGACAAAAAGTAATACCAAAGGCCAACTTCCTTTTGTTGAATTTCGAAATTACCATGGTTCTGAGCTGTTCAGCCTACCGGACCTGCCAATGCTCTACCATGCATTGTCGAGTAACTTCAGTGATGTGGGGCTTACAACATGGTCAAAAAATATCAAAATTGAATTATCTATCAGATTCTGTGCCTTTTGTTGCCTTTTAAAGGTTGAAAACTGTGTTTAGTTGATGTTCAATACATAACCACCATTGCTGTCCATGGTCACCCTGTTCCACTATATGTAATGATTCTCAAAAACTAGATCGATGTGGGGTCTAAATATTTCACTAAAATTAACAGAATCGCTTACATTATAACATATTAAAATGTCAAAACGTAAGAAACGCGGGAACTTTAAAAGATTTACGTCTAATTCTAAAACTTCGAATTTTGAATACAAAACAGTTCTGGACGAAAACATAGCTAGATGGCGAACTAGTCATTGTTGGGCTCACAAAGACCCTTTACTGAAATGAAAATTCAATTTTCTTCCAAAATATGTATGATTTATTGCAGTTTAAGAATTAAAAGATGCATTATTTTGGTCTGGTATGCGTTGGCTTCCTTGCCGCCTAAGGTCACACGGTGAGAGTTAATGGCATATTAATAGAAAGCAAGACCGATGTGGGGTCTGTTTAAAGCATGATAGTGAACAAAATTGAATTTTGTATCTATTGGTATAGGTTTTTAAACAACATAAACGCGGGAACTTTACGAAACATGGTATTGAAAACTGCCGACCATAATTATCACCCGCAGTTGCGCGCAGTTTTCTGTACTGCTATCGCTAGCAAACGCCAGCTTTTGTATTTGATTGGTTTAACGGCGTTTCTTTTACTGATTGAGAACACTTTTAAGTTTCAAGCTATAGCATGGCCACGGATCACCTAACGGATCGGCAACTCTCCCCGCTTCCCATTGTTATCGGTGTACCCGCGGAGCGGGCTGCCATCTAGCGGCGCGGATATCTTCACTAAGGAGGGGAGCCGGCCGCCCGCCGCAACCAGTGTTAAAAGGCACGGGGAAACGGGTGTGAACGCAACACCCGTCCGTCGTTTACATCCTCAGGATGTTCAGATCAAGTTCAAATCCTTCTCCTCCACGCAGCAACTCTCGATCCGGACTGGACAGGCAACTTTATCTCATGCGGGCTGCTCCCTTGAAGCGCACCACTGCTCCCTAGGGAGCACACCCGTAGCCGGGTGCAGAGAGTGCTTGGGGGGCTGGTCGTCCTGTCCATTGGGACGGGCTCAGCCCCGGTGACTCTCTAGGGTGCCTGTCCATACCAATGTTTCCCCCAATTCCTATAATCCTTCCGGCTCTGCAATGGTCTCAATGGACCGAAAGGGCCTAACCCAACGAAACAAAAACAATCAAAGGTTGTGAACGGATTAAATTACAGAGTCTCTCTAACAGCTGGAATGTTACCATAACATGGAAATGTTACATACTTTATTCCCTAATCAGCTGGAGCATGCATAATGATACAAATGTTTCTAGTCATGCTTGAGTTGTATGAGCAAGAACCACGTCCTCGCAACTTTAACGTCGTTTTTGGCCGTACACGAAGCCACCTTTCCTCATCCGTCTGCCCATAGTACGAGTTCATCCTCTGTTCCTATCTCGATGGTCACAGGCTACCAGTTGGAGTAGATAACATCGGAGCAAATCCAACGAGCTGGCCATTAACGTGACTATAGGTGGATCTCGGCCCCTGTTTCACGATACGACCCTCCCCGCCGCTACAAGGTATTGACACTTAGCCGGTTTCCATTAAGACGTTGGCAACATTGTGAAGTTTGCTTACGTTTCCATAGGAACGGAGGCACCCATACCTGATGATGCTAGGTACTGGGTAACAGCGTGCTGCTAAACAGTGCTCGTATAGCTTTGGCCCCGAGGCTGGTTTAGCCACGTGTTACATCAGACATCTCAAAATATCTGTGGCTTAGAGCCAGGTCAGGTCATTTTGCACCCTATATATTGCCGCATACTCAATACTCTCTCTCTCTCTATATGCATAATAATATGTGTAATACTAATAATAATTCAATAAGAGCAAATTGAAAGGCGTCTCATTTGGTCTGGGCGGGTCATCCTTAACACCCTCAAACATCGGGTTACATGTATGTAAACAGTGGAATAAAAACGTTCACCAGCAGTTTTTTACTATAACTTTTGATAGAGACGTGCTAGAGCGATGAAAACACGTCAGATGTGTTCAGCTCGACGATACGGATCGACTGATATGCAGAATGACCCTTTCCGGTCAGGTCATGACCTTCACCTGACGTAAGATTTTCAAAATGACCTTTCAAGGTCAACCTATAGTTCATTCGACGCGTCTCGACGAGAGGAACACGATGCTGGCAAAAGTAATGTCGTGGCTCGTTTGAGTCAAAAGATATTACCGAAAAAAACGTTTTTCGTAAACACGGCTATTTTTGGAGATTTTGCTCTCTGGACGCTAAACCGTTGACCTGAGGTTAAATCTGTGAATAAAACTCAGAAGGACCTGTGAAAGAGCTATCGAATGCGCTTTTCCGCGCCTCTGTAGTTCTGTTGGTTCCCAAGTTATGCGTCGGATGTTTCGAAAATTGTTGAAATAGACAAAATTTGCCTTTAATGACCTCTGGTGACCCGACCTTTGATCTGACCTAAAAAAATGACCGAAGTATTTCCGCCATTATTTTTACGCCCTTTGGAATGCCGCTTACCCCGTGTGGCTACGTAGCCCAGAAGCCGAGTTAGGAGGGGGCGGGGGTTTCATACACCCTCGGCCCGGCGCGGTTGGTACCGTGTACCGGCCCGGCGTGGGTTTATACTTTATGCAAGTAGGATATTTGTGAAAGTTATAGATTTAAT